AGCTATGGGTAGCGAGTACATGGTGCCGGAATATATGATGGAATGGGTCGTAGGGATGTGGCCGAGTGTCGGTGGGAAGCCATGGGATGGCTGTATGCATATGTACGTACCAGTATGTGTGAATCATCACTACATTACAGTGGAAATCGTATTCGCCGAGTCCACGATGTATGTGTACGACCCCGATCATTCATGCCTGACACAAGGCCAGCTCGAGCAAAATCTAGAGTCGCTGTCTGTGATCGTTCCCATGATGGCTAGACGAGCAAGCATCAATGTACAAGACAGATTGGCCACCGTGCGGAAAACGACGACGACGAGGCAACAAATATCGTAAGTGTTTGTAATTTTCTTCCTGTCATTTACATTTTAGTTTCTAACTAATTTTCGATGTGCTAATACAACACTGTTTAATTGCAGGGGTGATTGCGGCATATTCGTCATCAAGTACATAGAATTTTTGAGTGTCGCACATAAGGTTGATGCAATCAACCAGGCATGGATACAAAATTGGAGAAATAAACTAGCATGTGATTTATTTGAATTTAATGGGGATCCGTAAATAATTGTACATATTTTTACATTTATTTAAACATTGTACAATTCATTCATTTATTTGTAATTACGAAAAAATTGTAAAATGTTGATTGCGTATGTAATATTTAAATATTTATTTTACAATGTAGCCTACCGTATAATGCAGTTTCTAGAAAAAGTTTCGATTTCAAATAATTAACATAAATAATATGCATAACAAATGCATGTAATGAATGAAATGTTTGAAAAAAATACAAAATCTAATAATTCGCATAAATAATTAACGTCAATGTTATAAATAATTACATTGCCAGTAGTTATTAAAATTACACATCCGTTACATTGTCATGCAGAGGAATCTGACTTGTACAATATCTTCTAGTATGCCCTGTTGCACCGCACCTACCGCACTTACGAGGCTGGGGAAACTCTCCGGTAGACGGTATTCTAGACGTACGTGTACGTCCAGGAGTACGTGGTCCAACTGCTGGTGGCAACAAGTTATTCAGTGGGAGAATGTGGTCGGGCACTTCCCACTCGACTTCATTTGGTACAGGAAATATTGTTTCCGCATATGCTGCTCTCCAATAATCAGTCATGTAATACACACTGCATAAGGTGTGT